AAGGAAGGGAAAAGGGAGGGGGAGGGGGAAGGGGGAAGGGGAAATTTAGGTCGAGTGTAGCGGATCACTTGAGGTCAGGAGTTTGAGACCAGCCTGGGCAACATGCTGAAACCCCGTCTCTACTAAAAATACAAAAATTAGTGGGGCGTGCTCACTTGAACCCAGAAGGCGGAGGTTGCAGTGAGCTGAGAGCGTGCCACTGTACTCCAGCCTGGGCGACAAAGTGAGACTGTCTCAAAAACAAGAGAAAACCAAACAAAAAAACATTGAAAAAGCGCCCCCGGGTGATGTTAGCGCACAGTCACATTTCAGACCCACTGCACCAAAAGATGATGATCCAGAGATTGAAATCATCATCTTAGAGCCCTGGGAGGGGAGGAGGGGCTGCTTTTGGGGTCCTACAAAGACTGGGAGAGAAACCCAGGCACACGTGGCTGTCTACTCACCATCTTGGGAACTGCCTACTGGTCCTCACCCTCAGGGCGGACAATCAGAAACTGGCCTTGTGAACACACTGTCCTGTCCTGACCTCTTGCGGTGCCTGGCAGAGGGTCCACAGGCTTCCCTGAGAAGATGTTGTGGGCCGTGTGGTGGTGCCGGCTCAGACAAGACTCTCGCCAGGCACAGGAGGCATCCAAAAAGCGGCGTGTCTGTTTAGAAAGAGAGAGTCCTGTCCACTCTACAGCCAATATACAGATCACATCTGACATTTTCTTCCCTCTGTGACCCCACCGGGTCCAGCACCCATCATCACTCACGTGGGCCAGCACAGTCTTCTCCTCTCTCCTAACTCTGCCCTTAATACTTGCTCACCCCAAGCTGCCCGAGGGATCTTTTTTTTTTTTTTTGAGGACGGAGTCTCGCTCCGTCACCAGCTGGAGTGCAGTGGCGCGATCTCTGCTCACTGCAAACCTCTGCCTCCTGGTTCAAGTGATTCTCCTGCCTCAGCCTCCCGAAGTAGCTGGGATTGCAAGCGTGTACCACCACACCCAGCTAATTTTGTTATTTTTAGTAGAGGCGTGGCTTCACCATGTTGGCCAGGATGGTCTCGATCTCTTGACCTTGTGATCCCCCGCCTCAGCCACCAAAGTGCTTGGGATTACAGGGCATAAGCCACCACACCTGGCTGGGATCTTTTTTTTTTTTGAGGAGTCTCGCTTTGTCACCCAGGCTGGAGTCCAGTGGCGCAATCTTCGGCTCACTGCAAGGTCTGCCTTCCGGGTTCACACCATTCTCCTGCCTCATCTCCCGAGTAGTGGGACTACAGGCGCCCACCACCAAGCCCGGCTAATTTTTTGTATTTTTAGTAGAGACGGGGTTTTCGTGTTTAGCCAGGGATGGTCTTGATCTCTTGACCTTTGTCTCGATCTCTTGACCTGGTGATCCACCCACCTCAGCCTCCCAAAGTGCTGGCATTAACAGGGCGTGAAGCACACGCGCCTGGCCTGGTTGGGAATCTTTTTAAATATGAACAAACATGTCACTCTCCTGCTTAAACCCCTTCCCAATGATTCATATTGTTTTTAGAATCAAGTCAAACCCCTTCCCAAGTACTGTGGTGGCGCCCTGCCTGTGCATCTCCAAACCCAACTTTTCCCTCTATCTCTCGCTCACTCTGTTCCAGCAACACTGGCTTCCTGGCTGTCTTCAAAAGGCCAAGTGCAGCTGGTCTGCACCTTGCTGTTTCCTCAGGTTTGATTGCGAGCTCTCTGTGTTACAGGTTGTTTTGTTTTTTTTTTTTTGTGATGACGCGAAGCCCCTTTCTCACATGTATCACTCAGTGCATGGAGTGTGGTGATGGCGCATGATCTTGTCTCACTACCTTCTGCCTCCCAGGTTTAATGGTATTCTCATTGGCCTCAGCCTCCTGTAGTGGATTACAGGTACCGCCCACCAAGCCTAGCTAATTTTTTTATTTTTAGTAGAGACAGAGTGTTCACTGTGTTGGTCAGGCCAGTCTGGATTTCCTGGCCTTGAGGTGATCCACCCACCCTAGGGCGCTTCCCAAAATGCTGGGATCACAGGTTCAGGCGAAGCCATTGCACCCAGCCCCCTTTCAACAGGTCCTTGACCTACATATCACTAATCCATCAAAGACCTCAATCCGGCAGTGCGGTGCCTCACACGTGTAATCCCAAGCGGTTTGGGAGACTGAGGCAGGAGTGGATCCCTGAGGTCAGAGTTCAAGACCAGCCTGGCCAACATAGTGAAATCGCATCTCTACTAAAAATACAAAATTTAGCCAGGCATGGTAGCAGATGGCCTGTAATCCCAGCTACTTGGGAAGCTGAGGCAGGAGAATGGCTTGAACCGGGAGGCGGAGGTTGCAGTGATCCAAGATGGCGCCACTGTACCCCAGCTACAAAGTGAGACTGTGTCTCAAAACAAAACAAAAAACAAAAAACGAACTCATCCGACCACCCGATCCATAGTCACTTGTTCCTGGAATTCTGATCACATCACCCTGTGTCTCCCTGGGCAGGTCACACTGTGCCATATCCCCAACACCTAGGACAGTGCCAGGCCGAGATAAATGTCAACTGGGTAAACGACTGAGATAACTGAATGAGGCTCCATAAGGGTCAACCATCCAGTGGCAGAGTGACACAAGTGGACAATACGGCTCCTCCGAACAGAGGTGGGTGAGACCCTCCAATGTTTGGAAGGAAGCTTTGGTAAGGTCATATAGTAAGGGAATTTCGTTCACCGCCTGTAATCCCAGCACTCTTTGGGAGCCATGGCAAGCGGATCATCGAGCGTCAGGAGATCGAAGACCCCATCCTGGCTCTAACACGGTGAAACACCCATATCTACTCAAAAAATACGAAAAAATTAGCCGGGCGGTGGTGGTGGGGCAACCTGTACAGTCCCTCAGCTCTTCGGGAGGCCTGAGGCAGGCAGGAGAAATGGCGTGAACCTGGGAGGCGGGCTTGCAGTGAGCTAAGAGATGCCGCCGACTCCAGCCTGGGGCGACAGAGCGCAGACTCCGTCGTCAAAAAAAAAAAAAGGAAGAGAGTTCTAGTTTACACTCAAAGAGAGACTCTGCGAGCGCAAGTGGCAACGTACTTCTCAGAACAGCGATCTCGACAAAGGTTTTTCTCTGTCGAGGGCGCCAGAGAGTAATAATATCCTCTGGCTTTTATTAGGCAGATTATCTTTGCGCCCAACAACTCAGTTCTGCCTTTCATAGCTAGAAATCAGCACCAAACAATATATGATAAATGAAACGTGGCGGCCTAGCTGCATGGCAATATAAATTTTATTCGATGGACCACAGAAATTGTGAATTTTACATAATGTCATCCTATCACAAAGCATTATTATTCTGATTTTTCCCACACGCACTAAAAATTTAAAACCATTTCTTGGGGGCCGGATGCGGTGGCTCACACCTGTAATCACACTTTCGGGGGCTGAGACAGGTGGATCCACTGAGGTCAGGAGTTGAGGCAGCCTCTGGCCGAACATTGGTGAAACCCCATCTCTACTAAACAAATACAAAAACTTGCCAGAGCCTGGTGGTGGTACGCCTCTGTAAATGCTGTACATCCAGCTACTGGAGAGGCTAAGGCAGGAGAAATAGCTTGAGAACCTCGGGAGCACAGAGGTTGGCAGTGAACCAAGATGGTGCGCCACTGCACTCCAGCGCAAGGTGACAGAGCCTGAGATTCTGTCTCAAAAAAAAAAAAAAGAGAAGCTGATGGAAGAGCTCTGATGGAGTCGGGGGTGGTGTAGTGACGGTCGGTGCGGCCGTGTGCAAACGTCCCGGATATAAACTGGTTCACACCTTACCGAGACCTTAAGTCCATTTGATGCCTGCACTATAAAGATGTGCCCCTTGAGATTGGACTTATTCCAAGTCCGTTCGCAACCGTAAACAAGTACTTTTGACCAACAAAATAGCTAAGTGAGCCCCTTGAAGCGTGTTGGGGTCACGTTCCCTGGGCTTGAAATCCCAAGCTCCACTCCCTCATCAGCTGGGTGACCTTGGTCAGTGTTGCGCTTCCCTGGGCTTGTATTTCCGTTCCACCGTAAAGCGGCGAATGATTGACGAAAAGACTGACTTCTGCGGATGGCTGTGAATCAAGCTAACACACCGGAAGAGCCTGCAAAGAGCAAATACTCCGTTTACAGGAAGCTTGAGGGTGTGTGTGTGTGTGTGTCTGTACGATGGTTTTGTTTGACCCGGTAATGGCAGACGGGCTATCGGGTGGGGAGTCGTGTAGATATCTCCGGTCCTTGCTGCAAAAGTAATTACCGACCTGTTTGTCCTGGGGTAAAGCTTGGGCTGGAGCTCCACCTGCTGCTCCTATCTGCTTGATTTCAGGCAAATTGTTTTCTAAGCCTCATTTTCCTTACGTGTAAAATGGTTAAAGCATTTAGGGCAGCGCCTGACTCCCGAGTTAAATGCTGGCAGTTTAGTCATTTCTCCTGCTCACGGTTTTACAAGAATCATTTTTATAAAATCTGGTGAGGTAGGGACTTATTGGTCCCATTTTCCCGATGCAAAAAGCCAGGGCCCTTCAGGCATAATATGGATCCGGGCTAGGAAGGGGCCGGGTCCCAGGCACTTGGGTCAGGGGTCTCAGCTGGGGCCTCAGGGACTTTGGTCCTGGCTGGGACTTGGGCCGGCTCCAGGCATCCAGATCGGGTCCTCAGCCCCGCGTCCCCCGACGCAGATGGGCGCGTCGGGCGGCTCCGAGGCCAGGGTGAGACGGCTGCCGGACCCCCGGCCCTCCCCGCTCCTCCGCCCGCGGGGACTTACCTGCCCTCCTCCCGACGTCACGCCACGACCGTGCCCGGAAGTGCGCGCTTAGAGCGCAGTGAAGCTGGGCGCCCTCTCCGCACCACCCGGACGCTGGCGTGAGGCGGGGCGAGGCAACAGCGCTGCACTGATTGGCTGAATGCCGATTCGCCGCGCGCTCTGCGACGCCGAAGTGGGCCAATCCGGGCATGCCCCGCCCAACCGCGATGCGCCATCCTCTGTCCAGAAGCCCAATCCGAGGCCCGGCTCCTGGCACCGCCCTCCGAGGAGTGCTGTCCTGCGCGCTGCAGCCAGTCTGCGAGGGTGAGCAAACTGCAGTACGCGGGTCGAAGCACACTATGCCCGTGTTTTTGAACGGCTAGTGAGCTAAGAATTACTTTTCCAGTTTATTTTTTATTTTTGAGACCGAGTCTCTCTCTGTCGCCCAGGCTGGAGTGCGGTGGCGCAATCATAGCTCACTGCAGCCTCGAACTCCTGGGTTCAAGCGATCCTCCCACCTCAGTCTCCCAAGTAGCTGGGACTACAGGCGCAAGCCACTGCGCCCCGCTGATTTTTGTTTGTTTGTTTGTTTTGAGACGGAGTCTCGCTCTGTTGCCCGGGCTGGAGTGCGGTGGCTTGATCTCAGCTCACTGCAAGCTCCGCCTCCCGGGTTTACGCCATTCTCCTGCCTCAGCCTCCCGAGTAACTGGGACTACAGGCGCCCGCCACCTCGCCCGGCTAGTTTTTTGTATTTTTTTAGTAGAGACGGGGTTTCACCCTGTTCGCCAGGATAGTCTCGATCTCCTGACCTTGTGATCCGCCCGTCTCGGCCTCCTAAAGTGCTGGGAATACAGGCTTAAGCCACCGCGCCCGGCCGATTTTTAAAATTATTTGCGGCCAAGCATGGTGGCTCACGCCTCTGATCCCAGCACTTTGAGAGGCCGAGGCAGGCAGATCACTTGAGGTCAGGAGTTCAAGACCAGCCTGGCCAAAACGGTGAAACCCTGTCTCTACTAAAAAAAAGACGAAAATTACCGGCTGTGGTGGCAGGCGCCTGTAATTCCAGCTGAGTACTCTGGAGGCTGAGGCAAGAGAATCGCTTGAACCCGGGAGGCAGAGGTTGCAAGGAGCCGAGATTGCACCATTGCACTCCAGCCTGGGCAACAAGAGCGAGACTCCGTCTCAAAAAACAAAATTATTTGCACAGGCAAGGTCTTACTGTGTTGCCCTGGCTAGTCTTGAACTCATGGGCTCAAGCAATCCTCCTGCCTCCCAAAGTGCAGGGATTACAGGCGTGAGCCACTGGGCCCAGCCTCTCTGATCCTTTTTGGAGTCTCGTATGTTGTGGGGCTCCCCTGCATAGGTACATAATTAAATATGGCTTTTGCCCTGTCTGTTTACATGTCAATTTAATTCGTAGCCCAGCCAAAGAACCTATAAAGGTGAAGGGAAGCCATTTTTCACCTACCTACAACAGCCAGGCCCATTCATTTATATATTGTCTATGGCTGCAACAGGGCTGAATTCAATGGTTGCCACAGAGTAAGAGCCCAAAGAGTCTAAAATATTTACCATCTGGCCTTTTACAGAAGAAGTGGGTGGACACTTCTCTTAGAGCCTTCAGATTAGCCTGGCCCTGCCTTCTGCACAGGTGAATGGCTTTTGAATTTATTTATTTTTTTGAGACGGAGTCTCACTGTCACTCAGGCTGGAGTGCAGTGGCGTGGTCTTGGCTCACTACACCCTCCATCTCCCAGGTTCAAGTGATTCTCCTGCTTCAGCCTCCCAAGTAGCTGGGACTACAGGTGCCCACCACCACGCCTGGCTAGTTTTTGTATTTTTACTAGAGACGGAATTTCACCATGTTGGCCAGGCTAGTCTCGAACTCCTGACCTCGACTGCCCGCCTCGGCCTCCCAAAGTGCTGGGATTACAGGTGTGAGCCACTGCGCCCAGACTGAATTTACTTGTATGCCTTGTAGGGCCTAACAGAATATATTTGTTCATTCAACAGCTAAGCTGTTCATTGGACACCTGCTATATGTCAAGTCCTGGGGATTCAGAGAGGAAAGAGCACACCCTTTTCTCAGTGATGAAGCAGACACTTCAATCGGCAATTTATCAAAGACAGGGTGAGAAGTGATGACAATATTACTATTCCTCCTGATGTATATATATATTTTGAGACGGAGTTTTGCTCTTGTTGCTCAGGCTGGAGTGCAAAGGCGCGATCTCGGCTCACTGCAACCTCCACCTTCCTTCCGGGTTCAAGCAATTCTGCCTCGGCCCTGGGATTACAGGCATGCGCCACCACACCCAGCTAGTATTTTTAGCAGAGACGGGGTTTCTCCATGTTGGCCAGGCTGGTCTTGAACTCCTGACCTCAGGTGATCTGCCCACCTCGGTCTCCCAAAGTGCTGGGATTACAGGCGTGAGCCACCGCGCCCGGCCTCCTCATGCTATATTATTCGGTGCTAGGTTCCATCTCTGTTTTACAGATGATGAGACAGGCCTAGAGAGGTTAAGTCGCACAGTTAGTGAAGGGTGGAGGAGCTGACCTGCAACTGCTCATGCTAAACCTTGTTCCCTTATCCTCTGAGCTATACTGTTTTGGGTTGTGTGCATTCGACTTAAAGACCATGAGACGCCAGAGAAATCTTTAACGAGGGTAGGGTGTTTGGGAGTGGGCCGGAGTGAGGGTCAGTGAGACCCTGAGACAGAGCAGGGATCCCCTTCCTTACAGGACCCTAAGCATGGAAATAAAGGAAATTTCTAAGTTCCTTCAAGGGAAATTCCAGGCCCCCAGCTAGCCCTGAGAAGTACATCAGTAACTTGTTAAACAAAAAAGTCATAATGACCTAAAACAAAAGCTAAGGAAGTTAGAGTCCCAGAGATGTTTGGTTTCCCTATAGAAATTAAAGATAACATCTTAACATATGTCCCTGCATTGTCTTTCAGAGTCTTGGAAACCCCAGATAAGGGGGGAAGTGAAGACTAAACTTTAGCTATGCCCCTTTTGTTCCAAGTTTCCTCCTGAGGGGCTTAGAGAAAATGACTTCCCCTAACCAGTTGACATTTTTCTACCGACTCAAAATTTGAAATTTTTAAATAAAGCTTCTCTTCCTTAATCCATTGCAAATCAGAAGATGTTTAAATCTTTTTCTTTTCTTTTGAGATTAAGTCTCACTCTGTTGCCCAAGCTGGAGTGCTGTGGCACGATCTCAGCTCACTGCAACCTTCACCTCCTGGGTTCAAGTGATTCTCCTGCTTCAGCCTCCCGAGTAGCTGGGATTACAGGAGCCCGCCATCATGCCCAGCTAATTTTTGTGTTTTTAGTAGAGACGAGGTTTCACTATGTTGGCTGGGCTGGTCTTGAGCTTCTGACCTCGTGATCCACCCGCCTCAGCCTCCCAAAGTGTTGGGATTACAGGCGTGAGCCACCGCACCCGGCCTTTCTATATATATATATATTTTTTTTCTTTTTTCTGAGACTGAGTCTTGCTGTCACCCAGGCTGGAATGCAGTGGCGTGATCTCGGCTCACTGCAACCTCAACCTCCCAGGTTCAAATGATTCTCCTGCCTCAGCCTCCTGAGTAGTGAGGATCACAGGCATGTGCCACCACACCTGGCTAATTTTTGTATTTTTAGTAGAGACAGGGTTTCGTCATGTTGGTCAGGCTGGTCTCGAACTCCTGACCTCAGATGATCCTCCCACCTTGGCCTCCCAAAGTGTTGAGATTACAGGCGTGAGCCACCGCGCCCTGCCTAGAAGATGTTCAAATCTATCTACAAACCTGTAAGCCCCCACTTTAATATATCCTTCCTTTTTAAGTGGAAGCCAATGTGTAATCTCCATGCATTGATTTATGATTTTGCTTGTAGCTTCTGGTTTCCTGAAATTTATACCTGCTTTTAACAACTCCCACCTGCAAGCTATTGGTGATTTCAGGTCTTAAGCATGAGCTGCCCCGATTCTCCTTGCATGGCGCCCTGCAATAAACACCTTCCTTTCTATCACTGCAAAGATCTTAGTGTGGGTATCTGGTTTTACTGTGCTGGGGGAGCAGACCTCAGTTGGGTTCTGTAAGAACTCCTGTAAGGAGGGACCTCTGACCTGGATGAGGCGGAATGAGTCAGGTGGGGGGTGTGCAGTAGAGAGGCGTGCTCGTGGATCCCCAGGAATGGCATTTCACCCCAATAATCTCACTCAGTCCATCTGGATTTTGATTGAGCCCTTGTCTTGTACCTGAACCAAGAGGTAGTGACTGAAAAGGCACAGAATGATGTCATCTTTGGAGCAGTACTTCGCAGGGAGAGTGAGAAGCCTTGGCGTGTAGAGTCTCACTGTTACTACTTAATGCACAGGGCAAGTGATGGAGCCTGAACATCAGCCTGGGATACAAAGAGGCTCTTCTATAAAGATGCCAAATGCAGGCCAGTTCTGGTGGGGCCAAAGGAATTGATACAGGAAGGGGAAGGCATAGGGCGAAGGGAAAACTTCCCTTTCACCTTCTGAAGTTTCACTGAAATGAATCTTTTATTTTTTTTTTTGAGACGAGTCTCGCGCTGTGTCACCTAGGCTGGAGTGCAGTGGCGCGATCTCGGCTCACTGCAAGCTCCGCTCCCAGGTTCACGCCATTCTCCTGGCTCAGCCTCCGAGTAGCTGGGCTACAGGCGCCCACCACCATGCCGGCTAGTTTTTTGTATTTTTAGGTAGAGACGGGGTTTCACCATGTTAAGCCAGGATGGTTCTCGATCTCCTGACCTCGTGATCCACCGCCCTCGGCCCTACCCAAAGTGCTGGGATTACAGGCTTGAGCCACCCGCGCCCGGCCCGTGTTTAAACTCTTTTGACTGACTGCTTACTAACAGACAGTTTCTTCGTGTTAAGTTCCTTTGCCAGCATAAAAACAAAATAACGGCTGAGTGAGGTGACTCACACTGTATCCTAGCACTTTTAGGAGGCCAAGGGCGGATCACTTGAGATTAGGAGTTCGAAACCGCCTGGCCAACGTGGTGAAACCCCGTCTCTATTAAAAATACAAAAAAGCCAGGTGCAGTGGCTCATGCCATAACCCAGCACTTTGGGAGGCCGAGGCAAGCGATCATGAGGTCGGAGATCGAGATCATCCTGGTATAACACGATGAAACCCCCATCTCTTACTAAAATACAAAAAATGCCAGGCGTGGTGCAGGCGCCTGTAGTCTCAGCTACTTGGGAGGCTGAGGCAGGAGAAGGGTGTGACCCGGGGCAGGAGCTTGCAGTGAGCTGAAGATCGAGCCACTGCTGTCCTCCAGCCTGGGCAACAGAGCGAGCTCCATCTCAAAAAAAGAAAAAAAATTAGCTTGTACAGTGGTGGTGGGCACCTGTAATCCAGCTACTTGGGAGGCGTGAGACGGTATATTGTTTGACCCAGGGAGGCAGAGGTTGCAGTGAGCCGAGATTGCACACTGTATCCCCAGCTGGCTGCAGAGCAAGCACTCATCTCTAAATAAATACATATAACAAATAATGGATTTATAGTTATTATATAATCAGTTGCGCTCAAATACATATAGCTGCTCCGTTGTCTTTAACTTTTTTAAGAGACAGGGTCTCCCTGTCACCCATACTGAATTACTGTAGTGCACGTCATAGCTCACTGCAGCCTCAAACACCTGGCTCAAGCAATCTTCCTGCCCCAGCCTCCTGAGTAGCTGGGACTACAGTACATGCCACACATGGGCCACACCACGCCTGGCTAATTTTTGTATTTTTAGTAGATATGGGGTTTCACCATATTGGTCGGCGTTGGTCTTCAACTCCTGACCTTGCGACTGCCTGCTCGGCTCCCAAAGTGCTGAGATTACAGGTGTAGCCACCGCGCCTGGCCTTAGACTTTTTATATTTGATTTGTGGCTGTGACCAAAGCCATTTGGGAATGTCTGCCCAGCCCTACCTCCTCTTTAATGAGAACATCCACCACTCAATTGCAGCCTGTGCGAGGATTCAGCTAAGCCACACAGACTCCTGACCAAAGAAACAGTGGAGATATAAATGTTTTAGGCCTCTATACTTTGGAGTAATTTGTTATGCAACGCAGAGATCACTACTTATTGTCAAAACAGGTAGGGTACCCCCTCAAAGTGCTGCTATAATAGGCCATGAGCCAACTGTGCTTGGTTCAGATAGCCTGAAAATTATTTTTCTTTATTTTATATTTTTGAGACGGAGTCTTGCTCTGTTGCCGCAGGCTAGTTGTGGCGTGCACAATCTCGGCTCACCTGCACCTCTGCCTCCCAGGTCAAGCGATCTCCACTGCCTCAGATGCCTAGTAGACTGGGATACGACACCTGCCCACCATGCCCGGGTAATTTTTGTATTTTAGTAGAGCAAGACGGGGTTTCCCATGTTGGCCAGGCTCGTCTCAAAACTCCTGACCTCAGGTG